TATCTTAGACATGAAAGCTGATTGGATGGTTTTGGACCAATCACCAGTGAGTTCTAGTCCTACATTAGCCACAAAGCTAGTTGGGTGACTTTAGTCTCTCTCTCTCTCTCTCTCATTAAGTTAGGAACATGGTCATTAAGTGAATTCAGATTCACCATTGCCTATCAGAAGGTCACAAAAGGGGGTCACGTGACCCCGGGACACTGCAACCGTCATCAATACATGCCAGTCGCCAAGTGTCTAGATTTTGATCAGGTGGCCATGAGGACGATGCAATGGTCATTAAGTGTGAAAAATGGTCATGTCACTTTTTTCAGTGTCTTTATAACTTCAAACGGTCACTAAATGAACTGTCGTAAGTCCAGGACTTCCCGTGGGGGACCCCATTGTGATGGCTGCTTGTTTGGTTCGCAAAAGAGCATTGAAGTTTGGTCAACCTTGCTCAGGTCTTTGGTTCCACCTGGAGGGTCTTTGCTTCCCCCTCGTGCGTTGTGTTCCCTCGTGTTGCCGGGACACGTCCGGTGCAGCCACCAGTGGAACGTGTCAGGGCACAGCAGGGGGGGGCCCTGTGTTCCTTGTGGTCCACCAGCTCGGACCCCCAAGGACCAACCCGCTTTCTGGCCAACTAGCCACACAAAACAGGACTCGCCTCCTGGCGAGATCTGTCCGAAAACATGAGGAGGGATTTGGTGATCTCCCAAGCATGATGGGTCCACGAGTGTCCTTGTCTTCCATTGCAGCCTTCACTCCTGTGGCCTGACCGCTGGTGCATGCGAAGGCTTGGCTTCTGTTCTGGAAACCAGCGAGACCCTCGTGGAGCTGAACCTGGGCGATAACAGCCTGGGAGATGAAGGGGTCAGGCAGCTGTGCCAAGGGTTGAGACAAAGGCACTGCAAGCTTCAAAGGTTGATGTAAGTGTGCAAGTTCTCCCGGGAATCTGGGAAAATAGTTTGACTCCCTCATCTTTGGAGGAGCACCTCAAATATTGGAATACTGCTGTCAATATAATTCTTCTTCTTCTTCTTCTTCTTCTTCTTCTTCTTCTTCTTCTTCTT